AGGAGAAAGTTCCCCTGAAAACGAACCATCTGCTGCAGCCAGATGTACAGGCGAAGCCTCACTGCAGAGCGACAGCATCATGGGCAATAGCTGGAGCATTTTTTCCATAAGCCTTCAAGTGCTCTAAAGGAACTAAAAGTCATGCCTTACAGAGCTTTTTGATGTACTGAAGGAAAGTCCCCTCCTGCTCTCCTTCACTAGGTCTTTCCAATGGTAGCAGCAGCCTCATCCAGGGATCTCATGCTGTTGTACATCTAACAGCCCCTACCAGATCCTTTGCCTTTCCCAGGATAACAGCCCTGCATCCCAGCATGGCTCATCTTTCTTGTCCTTACACACAGAACTTGCTCGCACAGACATCAAGAGGAATTTTGATAGGCCGCCAAACAATCCACCATCTGTCTCCAAATAATCCATGCTGTTTGCTGATGGAAACTGTGGGGTTTCATCCTGGCTGTTTGGGGATCCCTACAGCTGGAAACCTCTCTCCTGTTCCTTAGTGACTCCTCTCCAGCACCCACTTCTGACCCATTGCAAAAGCCTGGGTTTCCCCAGGGGTTGGGACTCCCCTTTGCTGAGCTTGAAAACCCTCCCCTTCACTGCTGCGGACTCCCCCTACCCAGATGTTCACCCACGGTCTCCCGGAGCTCGCTGCACTGGGGCAGCTGCCTGCAGCACCAGGCACCTTACCACAGACAGGTCTGGCAGATCCACGTCGTCATACAGCTCCTCCTGCTGCATCCTGCCCTTTGGCAGGTTGTCGATGTAGGCATTGGGCTCAGAGTACTTCCTCTGCATTAAGCTGTGAACAGGCAGTGGGACAGCCCATCAGGAGGGATCGGTCTCACTGTAGGGCTTCACCGTGCTGAATTTTGGGGCATCGGAACACAGCGGTCCTGGGGTCTGGGTAGGGCCACGTGGCCGGACACAGGCAATGAGAAGGTAGAGCCATGCAGCAATGGGATCGCTGCTCCAGCTGCACATTGAGCAGCACCCACCAGAGAGGGGCTACATTGCCCCTCTGCTCTTTTCTTTCTCACCCAGCCCTCGGGCACAGCACCACAGGCAGCACAACTGCCCTGTCCCAGTGGCATGGCGGCTCCATGCGCAGTATGGCTGCACACCCATGGCCCTGCACCCTTGGCCAAGCCCATCCCACCAATCTGCCACTGCAAAGGCCACCTGGGCACATGCCCCCAACCCTGTGATAACTGTGACTCAGGTTAGACATGTCCTGGTGGGACAACAGCAAGTCCCCTTCTGTCCCAGACTGTGCTTTGAAAGAAAGCGACCAAGTCACAGCTGTGAATGCACCACCTAACCCTGCGGCAGCCACCCCCCTCGCAAGTGGAGGGACCCCACCACTCCAGCTTGCTTCCCCTCCACCCCACTGCAGCCCCACACGTTACTGCTGACGTACAAGAAGGAGTTCTTTGCAGCGCTCACAATGCAGGAAACCCGGTCAGCATCCACGTAATCGTAGGTAAATTCCTCTGGGTCTGTTTTCGAACCCGACTCTGACAAAAGGAGGCCCAGCCAGTGGCCCATTTCCTCTGAGGACTTCGCCTACAAGGTGATCAGACAGACAGTACAGGTTGCAAGAGCAGTTTCTCTGCACTCCCAAGGCCACTGCTGACTACGCTGGCAGTCCTCTGGGCTTGCAAGGGGAAAGATGAACAGCCAGGTATTTAGATTAAACCTGAGACTGCATTAAAAGAAGAAATACCGCTCTGTATATAGACTGATTGGCAGATTTGGCAGATACATGAATGCAGCTCCTCACTTAACTCCTTCCTAAAATTTCTAGTCAGTCTGCATTGTCCTTTCAATGATGACCAACTCAGCTGCCTAGAAGAGTAAGAGAAGTCTCCCTGGCTGGAGATGCTGGCGGGGAGCTGGCTTTGGAGAGGAAAGCACGCGGGTTTTATTTTGCACCAGCAGAGCGCAGCAATGGGATTGCCAAACACCGATGTGCGAGGAGACCCGAGCACACCAGGGAGCCTGCGAGTTCCTTTGCCAGAGCCCAAACCCCTTCCAGGGCTGTTTGCGCAGGGGAGAGGGGAAGGGGAGGGTTTAAAGTGGAAGAACTTCAGAGAGCCCCTCGCTTTAACGTGGTCAGTACCAAATTCCCAGCTGCAGTGAACAGTCTGACATCTTGCAAAATAAGGAATTAAATATGGTGCCTTGAAGTCAGCTCTAGCAAATAGCTACGTGTGCTTCTCAGTAGCGGGGGATTTCTACCTGAAGCAAGAAGTGGGCTGATGCAGCCATTTTTACATCTTTTGCTTTAATTTGAGGAGTTAGAGCAGTAAGCAGAAAGTAAAATTCAGGGCAAGTGAATCCCAAACCGGAAGGTATATTTTAAGCTTCCAATCTGTTTTACTTAGCAGACCCTTCAGTCCCTGGGAAGCCCGCCAGCCAGTCTGTACATCGAGTCTGACATCCCAACAAAATACAGCTTCTCCCATTCACAAAATGTAAATTTTCCCAGCACCTCTTCTTCACGTCTGTAATTACACAAAATTTCTTAAACACAGACATACCCTGAATCAGGAGCTAAACAAAAACACCTTCAAACTTCATGGCAGGCACTTGAAGTCCGTTGTTTAGCTATAAATATTCCACCCACTGGAAAAATACAGGAAATTGCTCACATTGTCCACCTCCTACTATAATCATGCTGTCGTCACAGAGAACTAAGATTAGAGATAAACAGTCCGGGATGCAGGCAAAGGAAAGTAACAGATGGAGATGAATTCACTTGCACTTTCAGGGGCAGATCTGTGATCGGTCTACTTGGGATGCATGACCCATGGCTTTAGGACTCTGTTTTCAGAAGATGAAGCTCTCTGTTCCTCCTAACCACAGACTTAAATCCCTGAAGTGGCATTCCTCTCATCTAACATTAACAATCTTAAATGCTTCCCATATAATTGGAGCATCCAAGCTTATCCTATGGTCAGTGGAGAGAGATGGGCACCTCCAGAGGACCCTTCATCCCATCCTAAGATGAGTGCCTAAGATGAAGGCTGAACGGTCCTCTGGAGGCACCAGCATCAGACAGAGCCTGGATTACCAGCTAGGTGGGACACCTCCTAGGTGACCACAGGCAGATGAACCAAAGTCCCATGCTTCAGGTTCTGTTTTGCTGGACTGAGGGTTCCTCTGAAGGACCTCACCGGCATTTAGTCCTACTAAAACACCCAAGCTGATGACTTAAAGCAGAACTTGCTTGGAGATATACACCCTACCTCTAGAATGACCCGTTCTTCCCCATTGTGCAGGATGCGGAAGGAGTAGAGATGATCAGGGCTTGGCTCTGGGATAACTTCACAACCTGCCAGACTCAGGGGTTGCTGAGCCAGTTTGCTTCGGTTTTTGTCCTGGTAGAAATGGAGGTGACCGTCTTTTATCTGGCACCAGCGGGACTTCCACTGGCTGTTCACTAGCACATTCAGGTAACCTGTAAACAAGCGCAGGTTACTTCTTAAGCATATTTTCCACCTCACAGAGAGAGGGAATCCAAACTCATTTGTATGCACAGGGATGTCTGATGAGTAAGTTCTGAGATCACTGCACAACAAAGCCACAGGCAACGGACAAAGAGTGTAAGCACAAAGACAAGCTGTCCTGTCCATACAAAATAGGGTGAAAAGAGTTAAAGATCTGTTCAAAATGAGACCCTTGAAATTCAGGTTAGGTTTGGAGCAGCAAGCTGGCTTAGGGTGGTTGGACAAAGCTGCTCCCAGCTGGTGAATACTGGCTGACCCACACAACGCTCTCCCTGCTGACTCCCACAGCCTGGGCTGATGCCCAGGAAGAGCAGCACAGATGCCCTCTGCATGCTTGTCTGGTATTACCTGCTCTTCCTCCTGGGTCAACCTGTGAGCTACTGCCCGCCCTTGTAAGCCACACAGTCACCTTAATATGTAAGAAGCACCACAATCTGCAGGGATTTACTGGCATGGACCAAGTAGACTGTGGCCTCTTGCCTCCCCCAGCAGCGCAGCCTGGCACACGGGCGTTTGAGGAGGACGATGCCTGGTGCTCATCCTGCCCTGCACACTGAGATCCAGTCCTGAGACAAGTCCCTGCAGGGGAGTTCGTGTTGCCACTTACTGGAAGTCTCCAGGGATCTCTCTGGGCTATCCAGGGAGCTGGATTTTTTCCTTCCAAGGTTCATCAGGTTGCTCAGTTTCAGGCCAGTTGTGCCCTTCTTCTTAACTACCAGAAAAGAAAAAGAAGAGACATGTGTGTGGCTTTCCCAAGCCATAGCCAGACACACAGCTTGTCCTAGCTGGGTGTACTGCCCCAAAGCTGCCTGTGCTGCCATCCTGCACCCAACAGCACCGCGGCACACACATCCCTTGCAGAGGGAAAATCCGTGACTTAGGGACAGGCTGTAATAGTCCAAAGCCCAGGGAGATGATGAGCAAGACGGCACCAGTAATCTCAGTCAAGTGACTTGCCAAAGACACTTCATCTATATTGCTTTAAATTTGGGTTAGTGCTGACCAAATGCCCATCGCTGCTGGAGCTGCAGGAAGGCTGTTTGCACAGGTCTTGCTGCACAGGTGCCAACCTCTCTTCACTTTCTTAAACTAAAAAAAATTGAATTAAAAACCATTATGCATAAATATTTACTGCCTTCAAGTCTTTTCCTTTCTAAAAGAGGGACTCAAGGTTAGGAGGGGGAAAGCCTATGCCCAAAGTCTTCAACTTTGCCCACCAAGCACGTAAGTCAGTGCATGAATATGGCTGTGGCTGTGTAGTCATCAGGGACTCCTGATAAGAACTCAAGCTGAATGTTTTTAGTCGAGATTTTCTTTCTCTGTAGCATAACAAAATTATGAAGTCCCAGTGTAGAAAGACTCAGCAGCAGAGCTCCATTGTGTTAGGTGACTCCAGTGAGTCCTCAGCATCAATTTCTCTCTCTCTCATATGCAGATGGGTCCCACCATCCTTCTAACAGAGCATCTTCTTTTATAATGTACTTACCTACTTACCGGCCCCATCTTATAGATGGAGAATGGAGCTTAAAGCCCAGAGTCAGAAGCCCTAGTGCAAAGGTGTAACTCTCCCATTGGAGACAGCTCAGCATTTCACACATGTATTCTCAAGTTTCTCCACAGACATCTCTGAGGAAAGTCACTTAGGTTGCATTTATGCCTTCTCAAACTGTTCCAAAGTGACTTGCCCTGAGTCATGCAGGATCTACGTAGTAGGGCAGGTATCACACTCAGGTTTCTCAAGCCCTATCCTAACTATCTAACTGTTGAGAAATCCCAACATCCACATGTCACTATGGAAAAAAAACCACTGAAATCAAATTCACACGTAGCTTTCACCCTGCATCAGGTCAGTTTGGGGTAGCAGTGGCAGGAGACACTATAGAAACACTCGCCACACATGCAGGGTTGATGGCCCGCTTCCCCCCGCCATTCCCAGGGTGCAGTTTTACCATCTTTTATCTCGGCAACCTCTGGATGGCCGTCTGTGCTGCTCCCACTCTCGGAGGCTACAGAGTACCTCTCGGATACCTCCACCTGTCAACAAGCACCAGACTCAAGCTCCACAGATGCACGTGACCCATTCCTCCAGCCACCACCCGCCACAAGTGCCTTTTCTTCCTCCTAAATTACAAGGTCCCACTCTCTCCGTAGCAGATGCTTTTACACAGACATCCCCTGCCTGCCCACTCATGCTGTACCCTCCCAGTTGTTTCTCAGCCTCACATGGGCAGATCCAACACATGAACCGCCCCGGCTGGGCTTGCCTTTGAGGTGATGTGGCATTAGTGGCACCTATGGCCTCCTGCCCTGCAGCCTGGCTGCTGGGGGCATTTGCTAGCCCCATAGGAGGGCATGGGCAGAGGAACTGACCAGCTGCCCAAACAGGTCCATTTTGGGTGTTCATCAGAGACTTATGAAGGTTTCTTTCTCCTCCCAGTGTTTTGGAACAAGAGGACTGTCACCTAAACCTGGACTAAAGGCTGGCCCAAGCCCTAGCATCCAAGGGTCTATGTCCCTTCCAAAGCTCTTGGTGAGCACAACCATCCTGCTGGATGAGATACTGCTGCTGCCCTGTATGGAGGAGACCCCAATGCCGAGTCAGTCTGGGGAGAAAGATGTTGCAACAAAATTAAAATCGCAAAGGAAAATTAAGATTGTTCCAATAACGCTCCTTTTCAGCGGAACAGGGGTCTGGTTACATTCGTATCAATCTTTGCTCCGACAAAATTACTGCACCTACAGCTATTATTTATTAAAAGGAACAGGGTGGAAAAGCCTGAGTGCTAGTTGTCCCTGTGGAGACGAGGTGTACCTTTGGGTAACTGAGACGCTGTGAATCCGGGATGTACTGGTTGCCTTCACTGCCTCCTTCGCACAGCAGACCGCTCGTCTCCTGTATTACCTGTACGGAAGGAGAAGCCATAGCCTGTGAGAGAGCTGCAGTAACAGGATCAATACTTCTCCCCAACCCAGGCAAAACCACAGCAGCCCGGAAGACCCACAGTTTATGTTCCCTGCAACTCCAGGGACTTTGTTGGTGTTGCAGCAGGCAGCCAGCAGAAACTGCTGGATCTGAGTCAGCCAGGGAGAGGCTGCCAGCAAAGGCGCCTCACAGCCCTGCTGCCGCCCCAGGCTCCATGAAGGCTCATTCTTCTGCTGCCATCTCAGCAGAAAGGGCCACATCTCCCCCGTCCTCAGCCAATTCATGTTGGGCACCCACCCCAGACATCCCTCCTGCTGCAGCAGCTGGGCTGGGAAGTCCCTCCATGGCCTCCCACACGCAGAAGGCAGCAGGGAGCTGCAGGAAGAAGCTATCCCGGGACATGAAAATGAAGTAGTGTATTTGTATACGGGCTTGCAGTGAGGAAGGGAGCCAGAGTACGCAAGGACGCGACTGAGATAAGATATGGTCTCCCAGCAAACCCAGGGTAGAATCATGGGATCACCAGCAGGGCAAGCCCCAAAGGCGTCACTGACCCTGAGCCACTGCTCTGCCTGGTCTTTACTCTGCAGCCCCAGCACAATGACATCAGCGTTCATGGGGATGATCTTCAGCTTGTGCTCTTTCTTCTTCACTTGCTTTTCCTTGTGAATGACAGTGCAGCCCAGCAGATTCACGTCAAGCTGAGGGCTGTGATCTTTGGAGCTCTTGTAGCACTGGGAAGGAAGACAGGAGGGCAGGTAAGAAAGAGACTGAAGAGGAGCTATCCCTCTCACTTGCTGGCGTGAACTCACCCCAGAAGTGGCTCAGTGCAACCACACGCATTAAGTGCACTGAACACAAGAAGGTCCTACAGATCTTACAAAGCTGTCACATCTACAAAGACTACACAAAGGACATCTCTATATGTATAGAGATACACATACATCTATGTACATGCATATATAGTCTGAATATAGATACTGCTAGAGGGTCAAGTATGTGGTTAGCCAGTGGGATAAGCATTCCTTCTGCTTAACCATCTCAGAAAACTTCCCCAAACAACATCTCTAGACACTTTGGGAGTTTGAGATTTTGTCCCCATCAGCAGCTTCATGTTCATGTCCCTTCCGAAAATGGAATGAGATCCCCAGATCTCTGGACATGGTTTCTGAAGCATTACTTCTAGAGCTACTTTGTTTTGCCAGCTAGTTAATGTGGTCTGAGGTGCTACTTCCCTCCCCAGCTCATGAAAACAGGTTATTTTAGGCAGAGAGTGGAGGATCTACCCACCAGCAACCTGGTATCCTTGATAATACACAGCTGTTTTGCCCACTGTCCCAGCCACTTCTTTCTCCACAGGAATGCACAGATGCGGGCGTCCTTCATCAGCTCAATGGTGGCCTCTGTGGATGGCCACTGATGGGTTGTTGACTTGCCTTTACTGCTCTCTTCTTCATCATAAGATTCATAGGAGCTACTAATGGCTTCACCATCTTCTATAACAAAAGCAAAGCTTTATCATTAAATACATTCCTAGGACAACTTTGGACCTACTGCTTGCCTCAGCCATGCTCACACATGCAATAGCTTCCAGCATAGGGACGTGTCTTTTGAGGCTCTCCTACAGGAGGATAATCAATATGAAAATAACCCACATAGATCCTTTTTTCTTTCTAGCTCAATATTAACTGCGTTGCAATGTTTTGTGCCTAATAGTCTTAGTTAGCCAACACTCAAAAGACACTTATCAGTTGACCACAAATTTGAGAACACTCCCTTAGACATTTTCTGATGTTTGCTTCTTTTTTTCCACCCAAAGATGCTTTTTCTACTTTCCACTTCAAGCCAAACACTCACGATTTTTAAGACAACAGCAAGCTACAATCAGCCCTTGTCCTCTGAATGTCAGAAGTAAAAATGGTATTTAGGAGGCCATGCAGCAAGCAATGATCTATTGTATTTGAGATGTCATTCCACTTTCCCCCTCTGGGCTAACAGGTCTCTCTCTCTACTCAGCATCTAAGGGACAGCAAGGGGCTTTGAAGTAATCCACTGTTGCAGCAGCAAAAATTAGTCCTAAGTGGCAGCTGTAAATAACAGTAGTCACATTTTTCACGTTAATTCTTAAATGGATTGCTACTTTGTTAGGATGAGTTGGGATTTTTCAATAGCCAGCTCTAATATATTGTAGGTTATTGGACTTTTTAGCTGATAGGAACAGCTGGTCATTGGTACCAGATTCATCAGAAACAAGGAAAACGTTCCCACTGACTGCAGGGGAATTTGCAATGTTCTGCTGGTGTTTACAGTATGGCTTTTATTCACAAAGTAAGCTCACATAGCAAGATGGTAAGATTCAGGCAGCATCTGTGTAGGGTTTTGTGTTCTTGTCCTACCAAACAGCATGGAGGAATATTATTAAGTTTCTCTCACCAGAATTTAATCTAATTTTGATTCTCATCAAATCTTATAATCCATATAAAAGTAACATCATTGGATTAGTGCAAAATAAAAAGAGGAAAAGCAGCCAGAAAAAAGGAAAAGAAAAATAAAAAAAAGCATTAGGAGCTTCACTGAAGAACATTTCTTAAGTTGGGCTTATTTGTTCTTAAAATAAAAGGAACTGAGATGCAGTAACAAAGCTACAGCCTTACCCTCTGTCTGTTCAGGGGAAATCTCAATCTATAACATCCCTCAAGTGATCAAAGCTGCAGTAATTAAACAAACTTATTAAAAAGCAAATACTCCCTTTCAAAGTCTCTGAATGGTGCTGACAGCACACTACTGGCTTACCATCTCCATACCCTCAACGTATTGGACTGTCCATCTTTTATGGGAAAACATTACCCCCACATGCATTATTGCTACGCAAACCTTGTCCACAGGCACCCTGGGCAGAAATTCAGTTGGAGTAAAAGTGTTGATGTTTCTCATCCCTATAAATACCAAGAAGCTGAACCTCTGCACTGCTAGGGACCCTTCCTTAAGCAGCAGCAGCAAGGACGCCTAAAGGAACCTCATCTTCTAAATCTCTCTCCTTATCAACATGGGGCTATTGCTAACTGCTGCTTTTGGGCGTCTCTAGTGCCCCTCACCTAGGCCTTAGATCTCAGACTGCCACTTTTCTCCTGAGGGAATAACACTTTTCTTCCATGCTCTCATCAGGAAACCTGTCTGCTCTTTCGTGCATCAACCTCAAGTACCTCATGAGATGAGCTATTCTCTACTCGAAGAGTAGCAGCTATTGCTGGCCTGGTGACACTGCTACAGCCTCATGATGGAAAGGCATTTTCCAGGCTGTGTAATTGGCTAACTGGGACAAATCTTGCCTGGGTGACTCGAGACAATGCTGCCGTCACTACTAGAGCTCAGTCAATCCCAAGTCGTACAGCTCAGGCACTTCAGTAAAAGGTCTCCATTTCCACGTACTGGCAGTTTTAACCAAGAGCATAGTTTCATCCTCTCATTGAGGTGACATCAGTGGCAGCCATTTTCTGGTATGTCCTGTCTAGATCCACCTCTGCTTTCTTGTTTGTCTTCCCAGAGAGCTAAATCAATACTGTGGCGCAGGAAGCTCCAACCATCCTGTACACCAGAGCTTCCTCTGCCTGAGCAGAGCACCTACAACTTCTGCTGAACAGCTACTTGTCAATACAGCCAGGGTTACCACATATCAGCTCCAGATCAGTCACCAGAACCAGAGGAATAAAAGCTAGGGAAGTTCTCTTCATTGTCCTCTTGAGCATGTGGAAGGCAAAAAAAAATGCCGCCTTGAGTAGATTCAGCATGGGCAGAGAGAGGGGAGAGGTGGTTACCCTCCATGCATGTAATGGTCAATGCCAGGGGGAGGCACCTGATCATCTTTGCTAAAACTGAGGTTTAAAAACACCAAAACAAAACAAAAAACAAACCAAAACAAAATCCCCCCAAAAGCCCCAAAAAGGGCACTTCAGGTTTTGAAAGCATGCCATACCCATCGTTATTGTGGCATAAATAACTCCCTCAGTAACCTGCAACCCTGGCCTGGGTCCAGCCGCCGCAAGCCTACCAAAAAGACCTGCACAGTCAAAAGGAAAGAGAAAGGGAGACAAAGAGAGAAAGCCACAGATAAGCAAATGCAGAGAACAAGGGCGTCAGTCTGGCTCAGCCCCGTGCTCCCCCCTCGGCCGGTGAGGCTGTCATGTCCCCACTGCCAGCGGAGGAGCACACTGTATGGCGAGACTTCAAACAGGGACAACATTTTCAACCCACTCCCTCAAACGAGGCAATTCCTTTTAAAATAGAATCATTGTCATCGTAATGAAAATCAGCCAGGGCAGCTGTTTCAGCCAGAATAATTATTGCGCAGTTAGCAGTCATGTCGCCCCTTGCATTTTCACTCCGTTTCTTATTGCACCCTTCACTGATACAAATGCAGACGAGGATGAGGACGATAACAGTTTAACACATTTCAGCCCAAGAGGAAAGCGAAGCAGCAGCATTTGCTGGAGCTGTAAAATGAAAAGCAGAGCCACCCGCAGCAGAAGGGCGGGAATCCTGCTGATGAAAGAGGGACCCCGAGACCCAGTGGACTCCCCCATCTGCTTCATTTCAATTAATTCATCCACGGTTTGTTACGCTGCCTCGTCATCCCACCTCTGATGCTGCGTGAATCCTCTATCTCCTCAGCCCATCTGGAGGCTTGCTTTGATGTCCTTTCTTGGCAGCGCACCCACTAATTTTAGTGATGTTCCTATTTTTGTTTGATTTCACTACACCCATTTGTCTGGAGACGTGTGGGTTTCTTCCAGAGCTTGTGCTGTAATTCTGACAGAAACACCATCAGCAGCTCCCTGGACCTCCGGCCCCTTCCCTACTCAGCTCATGGGGAGAGGGGGGTGACCACAGAGGGCTTGGGGGGGGTACTGGTGTCAGGCTTTAGCATCTTTGGCCAGGGAAACCCATACATGTCCATACTGCTCTTTAGCCACAGCAGTCACACCACGGCAGCTGCTAGCAATGAGCATCACTCCTCGTAGGACAGGCACAGGGGAGTATTGCCATCTGATAAGGCGGGGAGGGGGGAAGGGATGAGGAGCCCATAGAGATTCTCAGTGACATGATGCCGCTTTCCTTCTCACGCAAACCACTTTAAAAGTCATTGGCATTACAGCACGCACCAGGCGGTTTGCATAGAAGAAGGGAACTGCTGGGGCCCGCAGAGGGGACCACAGTCGAGCAGTCACAGGAGGCAAAGGCACCACACACCTCGGCAGCCAGGGACTGCCTGGACTTGCACATCCCATCTCTGCTCACTTCACGGGCTCCTATCTCCAGTTGCTGCAATATTGCTCTTTAAAACACCGAGCCCGCTGGTCAAACAGCCATTCACAGCAGCCACAGACTGCCCCATTTTGACAGTGCTTCCATCATACAGGGCTTTTCTCTCTTTTTCTGACCATGTTTGCATGGGTCTGATCTCTGGCTTCCTTAGGCATCTGACTGGCCTGGATTTCAGTGGATGTTGGGGTGTATTTGCATCTCTGAGCAGTAGGTTACCAAGGAAAAGCAGAGGTTTAAGCTGGGTGTTGTGCTTATCGCTCCTACCAGCCAAGGCTCTCAATGCGACGCGAGTTTACGGATCTGCCTGGGTAACATAACCTGAGCTTCCCAGCACACGGATCCATGGCTGCACGCCAGCTAAGCCGGTCTATGCCTTTACATGCCATGGCTCTTAGTGTGTTATCCTCTTTCCCAATGTGCAGCAGGGGAAAAAAACGTCCATTTATCTTACAGTGCAGGCAACTGGAAACCCCCCGCGGGGATGAGGCTGCAGTGACCTGCGCTGCCCCAGCTGCAGGAGGGCTTCACCCCCCTGTGCCCTGCCCTTGGCCAAACAACCCAGAGCGTTTCTGCAAAACCCAGCTGGCACCTAACTACACATGGCAAAACAGGGGGGACCTCTCCTCTGCATCAAATGGCACGTTTCACTCCGGCTGTGATGAGCCCGCACCTTTTCCCACCCAAGCTGGGCACAATCTTCCTGTTCACCACCATAATGCGGTTGCAGCCAAAACAGGATGGTTCAGGGAAATGAAGATCTTTCTGCATCTCCCTTTTTTATTTAGCACTGTAACTCCTAAGCCGTTGTGAGCTACGAGCTGAGCTACGAGCTGTCCAGGGGTGCCAGGTACACAGAGGCAGTAGAGGCTGTTCGGATACACCCACCCCTGGCCACTTCGAGCAGTGGCACCGCTGGTGCTTCCCTGCCAGGCAGCTTCAAAGCCCAGTAGTGCACGCTGGGGCCGGAGAGAACTCAGTTTCTCTCATGAACAGCTCAGATTCAACAGCCAAGGGTTTAGATCCAAGTCTTTTATCCTTAACTCTCACTTCTCTGCTTGCCTTGCCTCTCCCCGCAGAGCTCTGCCCCACACTGTGGTACATCATTGCGCCCCACTCTGCTGCAGTTGAGGCTGATGAGCAGAGATCTGCTTCTGCAGCAGAGCGATATAATCTGTCTCATTTGGGCTTAAATGGATTATAAAGTGATGACAAGATCAGCTCTGCTATCAGATCAGAGGAAGGTAATCTCTCATGAAGGGTGTTCACTGAAAGAAGGATGCAGGAAGGCATCTTAAAAAATAAGAATCTGGGATCTCAGCCTGCGGGCGGCAGTTTCCTCCCGAAGGGGTGCGGAGCCCGCGTGGGACAGGTATCGGTGGCACGGCTGAGGACATCGCTGGGAAGTGCCGACTCAGGCAGTGAGCAAGTGTGTGCAGAGGGAACCCATGCACTGTCCCCTCACATGAAATGTGGCTTTTTAATCAAGTTCATAGATGGTTAAACTGCCACAAGAGACAGAGCTGAATAAATAGCCAGTTATAAAAAATGGTTATCATGTCTAACAGACCAACAGAGTCATGGATTTTGAGCCCCGAAGGGATGATTAGAGCACTAGGACATGAATGCAAGCCACCACAGCTTCACTACTCACTCCTGAATAGAAACCTGCATTTGGCTACAGCCTACCTCCAGAAAACCATCAAGACAAAGAGAACCCACAATGGTTTATAATATTTTACAGTGATGCTATATTAACCCAGGCATACCACTTATTTCTACAGGAAACTTATAAAATTGAGTAATTCATTAGCCTTTTCTTCAGCATTAAATCTGCAATATTAAACGTGACCAGCATCAGAAAACAAATTTGTCACACAAGCTGTAAGAAACGTCCACATTTTCATGTACTCATTCTCATAAACCTCAAGTCCTCCATCTCCCACAAGAAACCCCCCCCCAGGGAGTCATATACCATTTACAGAGACATCATATGGCTCAGCCTCTTCATAATATCCCTCTGGGGATTCAATCTTGGGGACTGGAGGTTGTTTTGTTTCGGGAATCTGCAGAATAAATAAATAAATAAAAGCACAATTTAAGGTAAAAACAGATGTTTGTAAACAATGGTGCATCCTTCTTTTTTTTTTAGCACTAAAGTGCATCCTAGTGGATGAAACCTTTTAGATGTGTATACCAGGTTTTCCATGTAAACTGTTTGAGATGACAGGGAAGAAAGAGACTGCTGAGGGTTTCCAGTACACAGTTAGCTCAAATATGAAGGAGTTCTTTGAAATTAGTGTATAATTGTGTCATAAATATTATTTTCTTTAATTTTGCTGAAAGCTCTGGGAAGATCAGCTCATGCATTTCCTCAAAAGCAGCAATTCCAACCCATTGGCCTTACCGTGAACTGAGACTTCTGTCTGCTGCACTGACCCCCGCTAAGCTGCTCATCGTAACTGGGGATGATCCTCTGTGCTATTGATTATCTTAACGGGGAACCAGAAGGGCGGATGTTTGGTGCAATCCTGGCTTTACACTGAAAAGTGTAGCCTCGGCCGTCGCTGGTTGTGTCTCCAAGTCTCTGACTGATAGCAAACCAACAGCTGGAAATCTCTGCTTTAGGAACTATATCAGGAATCTTTAATTGTGCTCTGAGCAAAAAATGAAGGAAATGGATAAACTACAGTGATGGAAAATGAGCCTTTGAAAAGAGTCCAAGTGCTGGAAAATCCCTGTGGTGCCTGCCAAACCCCTCCTTAAACACAAGCAAGGGCTGACAGGAAAAACAGTGCCTTGATCCTTTAGAAATAGCAGCACATGAGAAAAAAAAAAAAAGTGAAGCTAATAAACAAACTTTTTACTTTTCAAGTAATACACATGGCTGTTGAATGTGAGACAGCAGAGCCGAAGATCACAGTAGGATGACAGCACAGCTTACGCTTTTCTCAAAACACATGGCATCCCACCTCTCCCATCATGATCTGACAGTAGCGTCCTCCAGTTCCCAGTGAGGTGTCCCCTCTCCTCACCCAGGTCAAACCACACATAGTCATCTGACAACAGTGTGCTCCGGCTCACAAGGCTTCAAACTGGCTTCTGACCGAGACCTGTGCAAACCCTGGACAGGATGTTCAGTGTGTGCAGGGCTAAAGCCCCACTCCTCCCAGGAGGACGGGCAGAAGAGCAGGTCTCTCTCTGCAGAGACAGCAATGTTGAAGGTCATGGATCATGCACACTTCTTCATGCTGGCCTACGTGATTGCTCCTGGTGGCCTGGAGAAGAGGGGCCAGCTGGGCACCAGCACTGCAGAGCAGTCTAAGGCAGGATCAGTCCCTTTGCAGGTCATGCCAGCATCATGAAATGCAGGTTCAAAGCTGTCCATGCTACCCTGGATATTTCCACCAACAGGTACTGCTACCCAGAAGTAGGAAGGAACCTTTGAAGGAAAAAAATGTTCTGGCCAGGAACTGCCCATGAAGGGGGATGCTGCTGAGCCTGTGGGAGCTAGCTACCCTCACCACACCGGCCCAAATCACACGTCTCTAATCCCCAATGGGCAAGCTGCACGTGGCTCTGCCAACCTTGTAAGCTCCTCAAGTGTCTTGGATGAAATCTTCCTACATGGGTCTGCCAGATGCTGTGAGCAGACTCTGAGTTTGCTTTCCAGAGCCACGTAGGACACACTGCTGGAAAACACTTGCCTCCAAATACTTAAAGATTTAGGAACTTGTCCTAATGTGTTAAATTAAAGAAATAAAAATAAACCCAGCCACTCCAAAGCTTTACTTAATCCCTTTCCTGGCCAGGGAACATGTCTGCAATTGCCATCTGTGGTGGCCTCCTGCGTGTAGCCAGCTCACGTTGTGCTACGACCATAAACAAATTGTCTACACAAAGAAACGCTGTGGGTTTATTTGACACCATCCCACAAATGTCAGGGAAGGAGGGGCAGTGGGGAAAGGGGCAGCTCTGTTTTGTTTCCTACAGACAATGGAAGCCAACAGGGACTAGGTGGGACTGCACCTCAGCTGCCCCAGAAGTTATTTTTTTCTCTTCTCTTCTCTTTCCCCAAAGGCACCGAGTTGTTTTGTCTCTAGCTTAAATCAAAGAGTGCATGCTGCGTTACCTAACCCACGCTGGTCCTCGTGGAGTATTTGCTTGTTGCATTATGACACATCAGAGCATGCAAATAAAACCATCTTGGGCATCCGCATCTGCACCGCGTGACTTTCTCAGTGGATGGCTGTGGAAAGCCGCAGAGCTGCCAGGGCTACCGCAGATGAAAGGACACCGATGTCTGAGCCACGGCCCATGGGACTCATTGTTTAAAGGTTGCTTTGGGACAAATCCAAAGAAATTAGTGGGATCCAGCTGGGCCAGCCCTGTTGGGTTGCCCATTGACTGCTGGGGTCAGTGAATACCAGGGACAATCTGCCGTGCAGTGCTTTATCACCAAATTTCTCCTCTGCCTCAAAAGTCAAGTGTAGAGCACCACCACGGGGTGCCTTAACATCACCAAACCACAGAAAACACAGAGCTAAAATAGATGTATTCCAAGGTCCTCTCTTAACCTTCCCATTTCTGTGTAAGGAGTTGTGCTTTCTCCTCTACCGCCCAGGTGGCCATGGCTCCTGCCCGTGTCAGGAGCAGCAAACACAGACAGGGAAGATTAATTTCCCCACAGCGGCCATTTCCACACACTACCTGGGACCACACTAAAGCCCTCCCCAGCCCCACTCCTTGAAGTATGCTCAGATATCTTTGCTGCCGACAGCTCACTGACGCTCAGATGCTCACGGTGAGGAGGTACTTGATTGCTTTATCCAAGGGAGGTTAGCTCCAGTGGTAAGCAGGCGGGAGAAGGTAGTTCCCAGCACAGGCCTGGGAGAAGACAGATGGCTTAGGTACCCTTTTCAGCTAACATCCAAGGCTGTTTTTTTCCCAGTTCCCTCATTTAACTTCCTGATTGCCCTATCAGAAAGCTGGGCTGCACCACGCACAAGCAGAGACGCCTTGGGGACACCTGGCTGCTGCTTCTCCAATCATGCCTTCATTCCACTGCACCACCATCCTCCTGCCCACCTCCATGCTATGGCCACCACCTCCTCCAGCTTTAAGAAGCCCAAAGCCAAACAGCAATTCCTGCTCTGGTCGCTGCTCCCAGGTGACTATCCCCGGCTGGCTGTGTGGACAGGGTCCCCTCAGGGCTGGAGCAGCTCCCAGCAGGCAACCGCACTGTGTCTGGGGATTTGCTGGCTGCATCCTGTCCTACCCTCTTGCTTTCTCAGCTTCTCCAGCTAACTCCAGCTGAGCCACACAGTCCCCTGGGCAGAAGTCCTGGGGCCTCACCCCACATCCTCTTTCCTGGGAAAGGAGCAGATCCTCCTCTATGGTTGATGGATGCACCAACCCATCCTCCTCCACACCCCCCCCTCCTCACCATCCCACTCCTTGCTCTCCTTTCATTTCCCATCCTGAAATCCCAGCTACAGTGATTCCCACATCTGATCAACTACGGAACAGCAACATCCGGGGTCTTGGGGATGACCCGTGTCTCTCAAGGACAGCCAGGCTGACTTGCTGGCACGGAGACAAAATCCCACCAAAAGCTGATGGTGTTGAACTGGGTCCTGTCCAGATTTATAGCTGCCTTATGGAAAAATCTAGTGCTGGCAACTCCTCCTTACAGACCTGTGGGCTGTACAACCGGTGTAACGCCCAGCACAGTCACCCAATGCACAGTCACCAGGTGCTTCAGCTGGAAGCTAACCTGATCTTCTCTGCTAATGGCCAAACTGTGCAAGGCTCTGCCAGCGAGGGAGATCCTGGCGCTGCCTGGGGACCGCCCCACCGCCCCGCAGCTGAAGGATTTCTGGCTTTTGTAATTCCATGCCAGCAGCCCGGGCATAGTTGCTTTACAACTCAGAGGAGATTTCTTAAGCAACATTTAAGAGCCAATCTCACCTTTGTTTCTCTGAAAACCATAACTCTCTTCCTCCTTTGAGCCTGGATTGCCGTGTGATGGGTGCGGGTTTTCCTGGCAGGGAATACAGCCTGTTTCGCACAGTGCTCCTGCACATGCATGGGAAGCCCAAGGCTCCCACAGCTGCCTGCTCCCTCTGTGCACGAGCTTTGGGAACCACAGGGGTTTCTGCATGCCCAGCCACCGTGGAGCATGGCCACCCTGCCTGGGCCACCAGCCAGATGCAGCACCTGCACCAGCCACACACTGACCTGCAGCGTTCACAAAGTCCAAAAGTGCAGCTGGAAACCCATACCTCAGGGAGCCCCCGGCTGAATCTTTATTTTATTATTATTTTTTAGAAATAAAGCTCAGCAGGACAATTTGCCTCACTCACATGCATGGGCAGAGGTCTCTTCATTTAGCTATGCTGCACAGTACGTAACAGAAGTGAAGCCTCCAGTGGTTCAGGTTCCCAGGCTGAGGGCTAGGCAGTGAAAAGCAAAGGATTTGCAAAACGTACCTTTGGAGGGGGGAGGTCTGGTAGGCTCTTTTGAGGAGGGGACGAATGCAGTCCAGAGTCTCCATTGGTCAAGGAGTTTCTCCGATCCAGCCCTGCAAGCCAGAAACATAATTATACCAATAGCATGTGGCATTTCCCAGCAGAGCACTCGCTACCCAGGGCTGTGCAGGAAGAGGGAGGTGCTATTTCGGTAGGAAGCACAGTGACAATTACAGGCAGCGCTGCAGGGTCACCATGTCATTTCAGGCCATACCCAGGAATGTGGCACTTGGAGACCCAGCAGAAGAACTGACCTCTGGGTTTGGGCATGTTTTTCCTTCTGGAGGGAAAACTATGAAGCTCAGACCCATTGCTGAAACTTTAAAGGGTCTTGAGAAGCAGCATGGGCAAACATTACACAGTACCTAGAAATCAATAGCACTTTAGTCCTTGCTAGCTCTGATCCCCGCTGCTGCAAGCACACAGATCAGTGGCTGTCCTCACTTCTGCTGCCTGTCCAGAAACCTGGAGGTAATATCACCCCGCTCCCAGAGGGAACTGCAAAGGTTGCTGCCTAGCTGGGCTATACAACAGTTTATCAAAGCCAGCCAAGAACAGTAATTGAATTGCTACTGAAGGAAGAGTCGCTCTTGAAGCAACCCAGGCCAAACACGTGAAAGGGCATATGGCAGCAGAACTGCTCCAGGCGATCTGCCTCTGCCTCTGGAAAGTCAGATTTTCCAAGCAGCTGAATGCAGAGTGATTCAGTAGCTGGAGGGTACGTTGAAGGCTCAGAAAGCTTGTGTTCTGTCCCTCTTCCCCCAACACAGAACTCCTGGGTGGCCTCAAACAAGCACCCAAATCCCACGACCTCCAAGACGGCACAATGCAGCAACATTCAGGAACAAGTGGGAGCAAGGCACCAAATGGCTGAAAAATTAAGGACTTTGAAGGTGTTACACTGTGCAGAGGGGAAGTCCCCTTTTACAGAGTGTCTCTTGCCAAATACTTTGGGAGAAATGAGGCTAAGGTATTCAGATACTGCAAGTCCGGTAAATCAAAAAGGAATTGGGCCCAAAATCTGCAGCAAGTTGATGCTCTTAACTCCCTTCGTCACCTGCTGATGCTCCAGCCACATTCCTCTGGCACACACAGAAACCACCAAGGCGTCGCGCAGTGTCCGGCAGCAGTTAGTGCTGCGCTCAGAAGATGCGGGCAGGAACTTTGCTGCATCTTTCTCGGTTTTAAAAATAGAAGCCAGAAACCACATTACTTTGTTCATGTCTGAGGCTCGAAGCCACAATGACAGCTCTGCCCTGCCAGGCTGCAGCCGGCTCCTGGCCTGATGGCGCAAGAGCTCAGAACACAACTCTGGTGACAAACTGCTCCCTGTGACACGGGTGTCCTGGTTGTCAGTGCTGGCTAACTTCAGTAAGTCAGGAGGACACAGAGACCTACGGATCAATAGACACCAACTCCAAGCAGCTGTTTGCACCTGGCAAGTAAGGCTTCTGGATGTCTTGTAAGGTTCAAACAGAGTAAAGCATGTGAGCTTATGACACAGACTGATCATGGGGAGATCCACCTACCAAAACACCCCATGGTTATACTGCCAGACTCGTATCTACAGGCTGCTGTTGGAGATTGGCCTTTTCTGTAAATGGCCAAGGAGATGGCACTCTCAGGACGGACACCTTTCATCAACAGCAGCTGCTGAGGCCATTGCTGCTTTTGGAAACACCAGAAATGTTTGATATTTTCTAAAGCCCTAGTGGGCTACTACCCAAGAGGGGATTATCTCCACACTCAGAGCGGTCCAGACAGGGAACTTTTTAGAGGCCTCTTTAGCAGAGAGAAATGGACAGGCCAACTCGCATCCTCCTGCATCAGGCAGGACCTCCCATGCTCAGCTCCACAGAAGATAAATCATTGCAGCAGGAAAAACCACTGCCAAACCCTTTGCAAGTGGTGGCCATCTGTTCTCGACTCTCCAGCAAACCTAGTAATCATCCCACTGAACCTCACCATGCCAGGAAAATGCTGTTTGGTTTCTGTACCACCAGTTCCTCCTCCTCCCACCAACCTTGAGGCATGGGATGGAGACCACAGCCTCGGTCCTCACCCTGCTGGAAACCTGCCCACCTCCATGGACACATGCCCATGTGCTCCAGCTGAGGAGCAGAGCAGGATGAGATGGAGCTTTGATTTTTCAGGCTCTGTGCAGGAAGAATCACCCCTTTAATATTCATCCAGACAAGACCCCTAGGAGATGTTATAGGGTTTTCTGCTCTGAGGTTGCAGAGGGCAGCTATCACTGTGCCCAGCATATGGGGACAAGAACCTAATACATGCTTTCTGTATGGAGAGTCTGTACATACCCCTTCCTTCTCCTGCTACACATGCCAGCACCATGAATCACAGACTGTTTCCTTATTGGGGTGGGAGGGAAGGAGTATTTTATCCTAGACAAGTATTAACACTTTGCAGGTGTCTTCTGATAAAGTTGTCTCTAAAACTTGAAATTTGGAGAAAATTTAGAAGAGGGAAGGAAGAAGAAAACCAGCCAAAGCTCAGCTAAAAATTGCATCTGTACTGACTGTTATTTATCTGTGCTCTCTGTTCTTTGTAAAAGTGAATCACTCCTGGTATTTGGGGTAAGAGGACCGCAGTGTGCACCACCAGGAGCCCTACACTGTGCATAAGTCCCACCTCCCAGACTCCCGCACCTTGATCCCTCTGTGCTGACTTCCATTTGGCTCACTGAAGAGTCTCATGGACTTGCACGGTAGACACTTGCTGTGTTTCTCAAGTAAATGAGATCAAGTACCTGATGGTACCTTCATCACTCACTGCAGTGAATTCAATTACTGTGCCATAAAAAGGCATCTCAAAAGCAGCGCACTGTTCAGCTTAAATCCTTACTGATGGAATTGGAAGTAGTGAGTGAAATATGTTTTTTGCAGAAATAGCGTGTTTTAAGGTTTGGAGGGGGGACTTTTGGAGCTGATGTATTATCACTTCGGAAAGCATTTCTCCTTGCACTGCTAGAGCAGACTGTAGCACAGCTACGGTGATGGAGAAATCCCACAGGGCATGAGAGGTCCCATTGACCTTAGCCACAAAAGTGTGGTCACCACATCCCACCGAAGGATTTCAGTGAAACAAAGTGCACAGAGTGCCAGTGGATAAAAGGGGTAAAGGGAGCTAAATAATTATTGGGGGATCTATATCACACCCCCCGAGCACCAGTGGGTACCAGGGCCTCCTCCATCTGCTAAGTTTGAACCTGCAGGTCCCACTTCCGACCAGCCAGGCACAGACCTCTCTGTGCAGTTACAGAGCAGGATCAGGGCTGTACACCCAGCTGCAGCTATGGCTAAGATCCCATACATGTGTCTCACTGGCTTCAGCATTTCCAAATAACTCAGAAGTTTTACTTGGAATGGGTAGGTTGTTGAAAACAGAGAAAAAGAGAAGGTCCCACAGGGAGTGACTGAATGGGTAGACTCATGGCCTTGAATGGGAAAAGTCTGATACAAAAGAACCAACTCTAAAAATAAATTGTCTGAAATTTGCCCCCATGTTTCAGCATGGTGGATCAGTGCAAGTCTTGCTTTATCCACCCAAATGGGAACTTATATAAAGAGATGTTTCTGTTGCTGCTCAGCTGTTGGGAGCTACTGTGAGGCTGTGCAATCCTGTTATGGAGCATTACAGCATCACCCAGAGGGCCCCGTCACCTTGAGGCTGCATGCGTACTCTGAGAGGACATCCTGTCTTCAGGGGTATTTGAAGTTAACCTAAATTCAGCTGCAGGTAGTTCAAAAAATAAACCAAACCAAACAAACAAAAACCCCACCACAAAACAATAAAACCAAACCAAACAACTCTGGAAATGGAGCTATCCCAACTCTTGCAGGACCAGCATGTCAACAGCAGGCTGCACTGATGCGTTCTCTTGTCTCATGTATGTGGGTTGGAAATTGTGGAGCAGGGTCAGCCTCTGGCTACGTGTGCATTAAGGAGATGCGTGTCAGTAATAATATTGCTCTACGCAATTATAAAAAACACCCTTTATGATGAACTTCAAAGAGCAAGGACGTTTTTAGAGAATTATGTTCTTTCCCATGTTACAAATTCAAAATCTGGGAAATATAAATTGGAAATTAGTATTTTATCAAGGTTTAATTTCTTGGCTTGTACACCACAGAACTCTTGCATCCCCCCGGGAGATGAGGGAGATGAGGCTGCACCTGGGAACTCGCCTCACAAAGTTGTGACAACACAGACCCTCTGGGCTAGTGCAGAGCAACACGCTAAAGACAAGAGATGCTTTCAAGGTCTCAGAGAGGTGAAGTGACATGTTTCGTGCCCAAAGGAAACATGAGGGCTTCCTTAAATATTTTGGGCACTGGAGCTGCAAGCCTTAGAAGGCAACATTTTTATCCCAAAATAATGCCCTCCAAAGTGCTACTTCCAGGAATAACCTCACAGCATTGGCAAGGACCATTATTTCCAAAGGAATGTAATGAAAATGGCAGTCCTTCCACACCATCAACTGCCTCGTCCCTCAGAGCTGCCAGAGGGGCCTCCACCGGTCCCAGTAAAGCAAGGCTCTAACCACATGTGCCTTCATCACCCCGTTAGACATGATGCAACCATTAATCTTCAGCTCCCTACCTTTGTCTTGTTTCTCCTGGTCACCCTGTTGTTTATGGATGGTTACTTTGTTCATATAAATATATTCCTCATCGCCACCTGCAACAAAATAGAAAAGTGAACTTTTTACCCACCCGCTGTTTTCACATTTCTAAGTTTTTCCACAAAGACAGATCTAAAAAGTGTCTCTGCTGAGTACATTTTGGGGAGAGCATATTGGTCAAGGCAGTGTGCAGACAAAAAAAAGCAATAATAAAAAGCAGAAAAATTAAATGCTTTATAGTCAGGAAATTCCATAAGTTAAAATTTCTACTTAAACATTAACTTGGCCAAACAGTACATCCTGTGTATCTTACAAAGTGGATTAAATAAACTTAAGGTTTAATAAGGAAAACAGAAAGCATCAGGAATCTTGGGAATCCTTTGCTTGTAAAGCTAAACACATAACTACAGTAATTTTACATAAACAATTAGAGGTCAATGCAAAAATAATCTCAGTTTTATTTTCTCTCTCTAATTTTCATGTCTCCCCTTCCCACCAGCCTCCAAAAAAATGTTGCTTCAAGACCCCATAGCAGTTCCCACAAAAGCCCACCGCCTCATCCTCGGTTTTCTTTGCCCGTACCGCTGGACTTGGTGTAGACCCGCAGAAGGTCGGAGAGGAAGCTCTTCTTCACAACAGCAGTGCTGCTCAAGTTCTCCTTGTCCAGTATCCTCAAAAAATCTTCAAGTTCTGTGAGCAGCTGCTCGAGAGCTACGACAGCAACAAAGACAACTGTTGGCAAACCAGTTGGGTGGCATGTCAAAAGAAGACATACATTAATTCTGAATTTTCCAAGATCGTCTGCCTTTTTCTGCCCAGGAATAATTAGTACTTAGTTTTCCAGCTTGAATCCTCTCTCTAGTTTTGAAAAGAAAGTTGGTCCCAAAACCAAAAAGGCTCCAACTTCCCTTAGTCTGTTCATGCACCAGAAAAATCCCACGTAAGTATTTATTCTTCTTCCTATAGGACTTTTTGCTTAAGGAGGGAAAAGCCTGGAGGGATTTTGAGCATTAGGGCTGAGATTACACAAAAGCAGCTAGCAAGATCCTGACACTTGAATATCGAGTCCTGACAAACATAATTCAAACCTCATCTGAATCTGGATCTACCAAAAACTCTGATTTCTGGTCCTTCTTTCCAAGCCTCCTCTTTATTACTCTATCTGTAATAATCTGAAAACATTTATGTGTGTCCCCTAAATAAAGACAACTGCCCCCATAATAATTCATATTTCAGTAATTCATAATTCAGTAACTTCTCAAGCTGTCTTGCTTGGGCAGTGACAGAGATCACTGCACCATGTGGAACTGAAGACCCAAGACTGAGCAGCATCTCAGAGACCCTTGGAAAATCTGCCATACCAAAGCATACCGCAACAAGCACCTTGGACACACCGCTCCCCACAGCTCAGCCAGGCTAATAGGTTTGTTTTCATTCTGAGGAGATGCTACTCAGCTCTGCCACCAACAAATCACTTCTCTGACAGGGCTCAAGCTGAAGCAACAGGCATTTAATTGCTTGCTTTTGTTCACGCTGAAGTTTATCGTGGACTAATTAGCAGCAGTGGCAAGAACCCGTTCCAGGGAGGAAATAACAGAGTATTATGTGGAGAGAGGAAGCGCCGCACAAGAATGACGGCGTGCGGGAAAAGCACGGAAAACCCAGCCGGGGCCATTCCTCCCCTTTGGAGGCTCCTCTGCTACACTGCTGCATCGCTCTCGATTCTAAGGAGCCGCGGGGGAGATGGGCAGCAAAGCTTGGGTTTGCCACCACCAGGCTGCAAACCAGGCTGTGACTCCTCAGCACACCACCAAGGAACATGACATATGGATAATTTAACTGGGCAACGCTCCATTCCCTTTACTTACAGCATTTCCATGCTGTGTGTTCCCACAGTACCCCGTGAGTCACGGTTCACACCAATGAACTAGAAAAGTGTTAATATTTTGGTTTCATAATGCAAAGCATCTGAAGCTTATCTAGTTTGAGTGCTACCATCTCCAAGGTCACAAAGAACATTTGTGTAAGAGCAGGAGAGTGCCATCACCTTCTTACTCCACCATCTTTAGCCACCAGGCAACGCTTCCTTAGGTGAATACATGTTAGAAGATTGATAAATAAAGCATAAATTAAACTGTAAAGGTTTATGTTGCTAGCCATTAATTGAAAACCATGCTATGGCTCTCAAACTGTATTAATCTTCGCTTGCTGGACTGTAAAACAGTCTAATGACTCCAGATCAATCAATAATGACTCCAGAGGAACCTACCAGCTGGTAGTTCTTCACACTTCATTTTATACTCTCTACAATCAGTTAATTCTCTTCTGGTCCAATTTAGGACCAGTAGGGAATGGAAATCGCCTGCATCATGCTGCGTTAACTCAAATGTTTTTGCTAGCTGCTGTTTTGCCCAGCTATAACACACTGCAACCCAGAGAAAGCAAGAATCACTTAAAGAAACAACAGCTTTTTTCATAAACTGTAAGGAAACAGGTAGTATTTGTTGACAACAATATTAGATACCACTGATATTATTAAACAATGAACTGTGAGCATTTGGTGTCACACTCGTAACCAGCTTCTCTCAGGCTTCAAGGACTATGATTCTTCTAAGTTTAAGGAAACTCCACTGGGGTAAATCACATCCTTGCTATACTCACTCCTTTGCTTCAGTGGCCCACTTCAGAAAACTGAAATTGAGGTCAGCTCCTGCTAGTCAGGCCTGGTGGACAGGACATTTGTGTGTCAAGAATGGTATCAGAAGAAACAGCACAAAAAATACCTAACCTTAATTTGAAGCTTCAGAAGCGGGTCAGCTCCCAACAACTGCCCATGTGGATGTCACGATACTGGGTTTGCAGGGAAAGGGGTATAATTCCCATTCCCTCCTCCACCCCCACGACTGCAGAAAAAGACTTTATTCTTCTCCCAGGCATCCACAGCTAGCACACACACAGGGCCGAGCACTTATGAATAGTGCAGCCCATGCAGTAGGTTACATTTTCCAGCCCACCAAAGCTGAATTCAGGCTTCTAGTGACTCAAAGCAACTCATTTAGGATGTGATCCTGGGGCCACAGGGTCAGTGGAAAGACTCTGTCAGACTTCAATAGATTCAGACTACAGGGACTCGAGAGATTCGTTTTGCTCTTCTTCAGCAAGAAGCAGCATATAAACCATCTGCTTCTATGCAAGTATCTCTTTGATCTCAGCTGGACATTCCCAATCCAAACCTGATACCTGCAAAAACAAACTGCTATTGAAATGAATGGGGCCATTCATTCTCTCATATCAGAAGGAGAACAAGCTAATACTTATCAGAGAGTGATGAATATGAAAAGAAAGAAGAATTAATATGATGACGGTCTATAAGATCCTCTGCGCTAGCAAGTATCGCAGCAGGTCCCAGCAAGTCAATAGGACTAAAAACAGTTGAGAGCCCATGTACATCAAACCATCTCAGGATTTCAAAAGCTAGAAACCGCTGCTTGGTCTCAGCTAAAGACCTATCATGCTGTGGTGATGATGTATCGAACATGCTCATGGCAAAACCAGGTTGGTGGTTATCCAAAGCAGCCTGAAACAAATGGCTCTTCCTCCAAGCTGCACTGTTTTGCTCTCCTTATCTTAGCAGTTTAGAAATGAGAGCACATAAAGAGATGATTCCTGGAGCTAGGCTTGCTCTGCAGGGCAATAGCTATAGATGGCAAGGAACATGTTTGCAAAATCAAATGGCTGTGAGACTCTCTGTTTGAAGGTTGCGACTTTGGTCGCAGAAATAAGCAAAGAATTGCCTGAAACACAACCGATCTGTTTCAACGGCAATTCAGCGGCAGTAGGACAGCACTGAAAAGGGCTTCTTTTGGCAGGGGTCTATGGCCTTTCTTTGCAGACAAAGTCTCTTGCATTGCAGCAGTGTCTATCCTAGTTCATGTGAAGCTAGAGCCAAAAATGCAGCAGCTTGCAAAGCCCCCATTGAGGAAGCACATTCCTTGCAAAAGAGCTGCCAATTTTGCCTGACACCAAGGTCACTGAAAGGTAAATGACCATTAAACTAGATTATAAAAGCCATTCCTACCAATAACCACTGATCTTTGTCATCGTGCTACAATAACAACATATGTCTACATCTAATTACTTCATGTCTTGGCCTTATGAGGAAATGGAAAGACAGACTCAGAATGAACTTTCATTCAAGTGTTTTAGTAACCACTGGGCAGGATTATATTAGACCATTTAATCTAAATTCAATTATTTATTTTATCAAGGTAGTGGGGCCCCAGCCAACCGGACAAAGAATTGTAATAAGATACATACTAAGAGAGAAACTCTTTCCTCTACTGAGATGAGAGGTGAAAGATAAGGAGTATCATTTGCTAACAGGAAACCAAGGAATAGAGAGATTAAGTGGATTTGTCCAAGGATATGGGTGTATTCTCCAGCAGATCAGGAATACAACCTAGCTGTCCTGTGTCCCAGCCTGCAGATCTCACTCCCAAACCACCCCTTCTTGGGTCCTGAAGCACTGGGAGATTTCCCACCCTCCAGCCAAAAGCAGGATGTGGGTTTGGTACTTTTGGCTTCACCCCTCCTAGAAGGGGCTGGGCTGAGCTGCTGGCAAACAGCAAGGATTCAGGCACGTGGTAAATACCTGCAGCCTGCGGCATGCCAAGCTTCTCACTTGGAAAGTCCAGAGATAGTGAAACTGATAACACAACATGATTCATGCAAGCGTCAGGCGTAGAGGGGCTCTTGAGGGGCACCTCGAGGTACCTGCACATCCCCAGCCTCCCCGGAGTGCCTCCTCGGTGCAGTGCATCCCGCAGCAGCCCTTCGGCCCCCATTTCCCGCTGACCAGCCCTGGCTGGCAGCACTGGGATTCCCCAAGGGCTGCTTTGGCAGAAAGCAGTTCCTTTCTTGCCCTGGTTTCTTTTTTCCTTTGCTGCATAAAAATCAATAGGGCAGCTGATGAGCGTGCAGAGAGGACAGGCGGGTACAGAGACAGCATTCAGGGCGCTGAATAGTGAGTGCTGTCAGCGGAGCAGGAGGACCCAGTCCAGGCCTCCTTGGCTAATTTGGAGTCTCCTAGTAACAGTCAGCCTTTGCAAGAAGGAAAAGTCACCCACGATGACAGCTAGAGAAGGCCATTCTCCCCAGCTGTGAGGAAAGGCAGATGTGTGGATGGTGACAGCTGTAACAGCTGGATGACCCCCACACAGGGCTGCCTTCCAAAACAGCAAAGCAGATCCTTCCTCAGGCAAACCGACCTTCCTCATCCTGGTGGCTTTAGGGTCTTGCAGAAGAGCAGTGAAGAAAAGGGCACAGCAATGCTTTGGCCCTTCTGCAGGGGTCACGGCCCCTCCGCCCTGCTCCGGGTGCCGTTGGCTTCGGCACACACGGGCAACGTGACACAAGGAAGGACACGTGGCAAGCGGCTCACCCAAATACAGCACCAGGAAGAAGTGACATCTCTGTTGAACCCCAGAAAGCTGCTCCTCCAAAAAAGCATCCCCATCACACTGAAACCCCACCAGCATTCACCCAGGCTGATAAGCAGAAAAAAGCAGGCAAGTGTGGACTAAAGTTTACCAGCTTGCTTTTAATCATCAGAAACCAGGCTTCACTTCCCACACTGCACCTGCCATTACTGGCCAGCCTTCCTTCTAGCTTTTCACGGGAAAAGAATAAGAAGCCCATCTCATTGTTGGTCAGTTGAAACTCCTCCATTTCTT